CGTACATACCCGTGTTGATCGTGGAATCTCTCGCACCCCGAGACACTGCGCGGCTATTCTGATTGAGGCGACTCTCTCGTACGTCGCGCAGGTCCTCTCTGTTCCTACTGGCACGCTCCACCTCGTCTCTGCGACCCCTGCTGTCCCTATCTCTGGTACTGTCCCTATCTCTGGTACTGTCCCTATCTCTGGTACTGTCTCTATCTCTGGTACTGCCCCTGTCTCTGGTACTGCCCCTGTCTCGGGTACTGTCTCGGGTGTCCCTTTCCCAATCTCGCGTGTCCTTGTCCTTGTCTCTATTGTCCCGTGGCTTGTGATCCCGCCCATCTCTATCTGCGTCCTTATCCCTGACCTCCCTATCCCGGTCACGCACGTCTCTTACGTCCTTGTCACGGCTGGTATCCATACCAGCACTCGCAGTCGCAGTAGCAGTAGCAGTGGTCGTAGCAGCCGTACTGGTCGTAGCAGCACCACACTCAGCCAGCCGATCTCGGCTTCCCCTACTCTCCCCGTCTCTGTCCCCGTCCCGGGTTCTATTTTTGTCCGCGCTCCGCTCCTTATCTACCCCCTCTCGGCCAGAGCTCTGGTTACCCCCCGGGCCTCGCGCGCGTCCTCCACACGGCTACGCTTGTCCCTCACCTCACTGCGCCGTAACTCCGTAGACGCCCGTTTCAGCTGTCTGTCCCTGTCTCCCGCACCCCCACTCTCCCCAGTACTCTCTGCGGGGGCGTGCGAGTGTCTATCCCGGTCTCTATCTCGGTCCCTCTCACTGTCTCTGTCTCGGTCCCTGTCTCGGTCTCTGTCTCGGTCCCTGTCTCGGTCTCTGTCTCGGTCGCGGTCGCTTCCCATGCGCCCGGTCGTGTCACTCCTACTACTGAGCCCTGGCCGGTCACCGTCTACGTTTTCACTACGTTTTCCCAGCCGATCCGCGCTGCTGTGCACACTATCGGTGGTATCGGCGCGCCTCGACAACTGTCGGTCCGTCGTACCGTGTCCTCCCGTCTCAGTACGTTTTCGCTTCAGATCATCGCCCATCTCAGTACGTATTCTACCCATATCGTCACTCGTCTCGGGACGTTTTCTCCCCAAATCGCGCTCGCCACTTCTCCGTCCATAGGTCTGCGACCGTTCACGTTCGCGATCGCGTTTCGCTTTCTCGGCGCTGTCATGTCCCTCGGTACGTTTTTCGTTTCCGTATCGCTCCCCGCTGGCGCCCCCGCGATCTCTAGACTTGTCCTTCTCCTTAAGCGAATCCGCACCCTCTGTGTCCCTAGCCATTTCTCGTTCCGTACTGGTACGTTTTCCTCCCCTGTCACTCCTATCGCCATCCCGTCCCTTCACATGCCTATCCCCCTCGCGTTCTCGCTCGCGTTCTCGCTCCCGGCTCACCCGCTTCTCCTCAACTCCCCGTGCGGTTACGTTTTCACTCGTCTCGTTACGTTTTCCGGCCCTCTCCGCACTACTACGGTCCCTGGCCCTGTCCCTGGTGCGTTCGCCCGTCCTGTCCTCGCCCTCTTTTTTGGGCCCCTCCAGCTCCTTGCTAGCCCGGCCCTTGCAATCGAGTGACTCGGTCCCTTTCAGTGCGTCGCGGTTGTTCTTCTCCAGCTCACGTCTGCGCTGCATCTCCGCTAGCATGCGCTCGCTCTCGGCTTCGTCGTCGGCACTCACGCGGCTGGTGTCGTCTCCACTGCGATATAAGGTGGAAGGTACACAAGCATGTTTAGCGTATATATTCGCAATAGTGTATGTGTGCACACAAGTCATGGGTGTGTGTGGGTAGGTGTACATGTATACAAGTGCAGTGTAAATATAATGGGACACATGAATCCCCAGGAATTCCCGTACGGTTGTCATCCCCACTGTTCTCGAGTGTAGTAGATATACATGCATATTAAGGTGTGTATTTCGAATGGGATATATGCCACATAAAATGAGATGTCTGCCCATAAACTATCCTCGCTGTGTTAGGACCAGGAGGCTGTGCATGTATGTCAGTGTATAAGTATTTCGCCTGCTATATATCGTCCCTAAAAAATTTATACGCATCACATCGCCGGTGTAGAGAGTCTGCAAGTATCCACGACCACCAGGTATCTTCAACATTGAACATTTCACACAC